AAAATTGTGCTCTTCGAGCTTTCTCTGGAAAATCTCTCGTTCGTCGCGCACTGTTTGCTCTTGAAAAGACACTCTACTTGCGTACGCGTACTCGCAAAACCTTAATCGCTCTTCAAAACTTTCGCCGTTCTTACGGCGGTGTTGATAAAAAGATCATTCGTTCCGACGAAATTAATAAATCACCGGTTATCTGTCTCGTGGTTGGCAACTGGAGCGTTTAAAAACACATTCCACATCTTCATTCGCGCACATCTTTCAAAACGGTTCTGAAAGTGGTAATATTATCTTCTGGAAATCAATAAATAATTAACAATTCTTACACTATCGCGTAGATTGCAATTTTATTTTTTTGACTGAATTGAAGGTCTTTTCAAAAGAATTATATTATATTAAAATAGTACTCCGTTAGAAAAGAATTATATTATGTTAAAGTATTTATAGAATCTCAAATTCTAAAAACAATATTCGCTTCTTGAATATCGATGTAATCAGCCATTATCCTGGATCGGAGTATAATTTTCGCGACACCGTTGAGTCTCTCGAAAGTCATCTCGTTCGCGTATTTGCAGAACCATCCTTCAAAAAATCCCCCAGCGTTCTCGCGACGCGACGGTGTTAATTAAAACAATGCTCATTTCCTGCGAATTAATAAATCAGCCATTATCTATCACGTAGATTGCCACGTAAATTCGAGCGAACGTATCATTATCGTAAATTACGTGGCAGAAATTTTTGCCTCTGTCGTGCTGGCACGCTTCGTCGGAACTGATCGTGCGGAAAATTTCAAGCAGCCGACGAAGGGGCGCGAGGCACGAGATCGAGATTTTCAAAAAAATTGCTCCGAGGGCAATCGTCGATCGTCGCGGATTTGCTTATACCCCTCTGGCGAATCGCGGCTCTAATTTTCGCGCCGCGCGACGGCGTAAATTCGAGGATGGCGAAGTTGTGACCCGAAGAGGAGAAGGAGGAGGATAGTTGGAGTCGTGCAAGAAATATCGAATCACCGAACGAGCGAGCGAGAGAGAGAGAGAGAGAGAGAGAGAGAGAGAGAGAGAGAGAAAGAGAGAGAGCGGCAACCCGTCGATATTATCCAGCTGATGGATCGAAATTATATTATAATCCCCGAGCCGTGTGATGGATATTCTGATTGGACCGGTAAAATCGTTTTACTAATAGTCCGCAGTTTTCAAAGTGGATCGACAACCCTCCCCGATCGTGTTGCGCGAGTTTCAATTCACGGTGCATCGAATTTCTCTCGATCAACAAATGTTTGGCCGGCGGTTAATGCGACGTGCGACATATTTTAAAATTCGTAGATGATTCTTCTTTTTTTCTTTATCAATGTTCCATCGATTGTGCATGAATTCATAATTCATGAGAATTATTCTTGGGGCAAAATAGCGACAGAATGTTCGCTTTGAAGAGTAAACTTTTTTACACGATTATCCCTTGTCAATCTTTGTGCGAAAGTTCGCTGGGTGAAATATTGTCATACAATCGGGAAGGATTAGAGAATTTTAATTCTACTTTACGTAGATCTGTTTGCAATTGTGTTAATTTAAAGAAAGAGAATCTCAAATATCCTCAGATATAAATTGGCTCAATTAATGAACATTCTCAGATAAAAAAAAAAAGTATACTTAACTACTCCTTAGAGTTAACAAAATTTCTCAAAACTCACAACGAAAACAAAAAAAAGAAAGAAAAAAAAAGGAAAAAAACACGATAGACCCGAAGAGATCTTGCGAATCGATCAATTTCTGATATTTATTCTCCGAGTAGATAGAGAGGCGGCACAAAAGCGGCTCGCTTCACGCCATTAGCAGAACTATTAGGCTTTCCTCTGCGAAACTTTCTACGGGCGTGTTCAGGAACAGAGGACCGACAATGAGCTCTCTCTCACTCTCTCTTTGAATGTTCTCGACCACGAAAACGTTCTCATAGCGCATTAAATGAATAATCCCGGACGTTTTAGCGAACAGACTGTTCGAGTGGCGCAATGGCCACGAAAGTGGTCTGGATTTGAAAAAAAAAAAAGAAAAAGAAGAAGAAGATGATAAAAGGGGGACTGAAAAGTGAGAAAAATATTGAAGAAAGCAAGAGAGGGGATGAAATGATTGTCCGTTCGTATCTAGAGAGTTTCCGAGAATTTTCGCAAACGGTCACGCGCGCGAGATCTTTCCTTGTGTGTAACGAGCGGCGAGCAGGTTATCGCTGGTTGTTTACCAGGTTAAAACACAGCCGGTTTCGCCGTTTCTGCCGTTCGGTCTCGGAAGAGGTCCGGAGCGCGCTATGATTTATATCGCGAGCACCGTATTGAGCCGCTGCTAGTGGCACGCGACCAAGGAAATTTCCTAAATTGTTTTCTTCCATCGTGGCCGAACTACGCCACCGCAGTGCCTCCTGTCGAACGTTTTTGCAAATTCTTCACGTGATGCGAGATTCAGCCACCTATTCAGAGGAGAAGATTAATAAGATACTCGAACGTCTCAGTATCGAGCAGAATGTCCGTCGGCTTCTTTCAAATTCTCGTACAGAGGCGAACAATCACATTGGCGGGCAATATCGGTGCAATATCGATGCGTCAAAGGAAACTCCCGTTCGTGCACGTTCGACGAAGACGACTGATTACGTTCAACGAAATCGGCAACGAACGCTGCTTGACGAATCGATCGCGATCGATTTCCAGCCAGCCTGAAAGCGGAACAGACGCGAGGAACTAGAAATATATATGCCTGCATGAATATTGAATTCCTCTATTTGCCGAAACGGGGCAGTGTTCGAAAATACATTGGCCTGATTGACAAATAAGGAGAAAGAAAAATAAAAAATAAAAAAATGGACGAAAATTACTCCACGTGAAAGTGGCGACGCGACTAACCAAAAATATTATATAATATATAATATATAATATATAATATATAAAATATATAATGTATAATATAGAAATATATAAAATATATAATGTATAATATAGAAATATATGAAATATATAATGTATAATCTAGAAATATATGAAATATATAAAATATATAATGTATAATATAGAAATATATAAAGTATATAATGTATAATATAGAAATATATGAAATATATAATGTCTAATATAGAAATATATGAAATATATAATATATAATATATAATATAAAAATATATAAAATATATAATATATAATATAGAAATATATAACTTCGCGAATTATTTCTTTCGTGTTCTGCCGATCGACTCGCTTTCACCCTGGAAATTCGTCGGCGGAACGTTGGCGAATTGTCGTTACGTGGGAATGCGTGTCACGGCCCGGGCAAGTCACGGGCGTGAGGGAAAAAGCTGATCGAGGGGAAGATCGCGTTCCCCGCGTGTGAAATTGCGGGGATCCCGCGACGACGCGAGTTCTCTTCCCGGCATTTGTCGCGATCGCGGAGGGAGTGGTTCGAGCAGCGTTTATCGAAGTTCGTCGCTGAATTCGTTCCACGCGTGAGTTTACGCCCCGAGTTCCTCGACGCGAGATTTTGAGATACGCGGCCAGGCATGCGACGACATTCACGTGGGAAACTGCCGGTAAATGTCGTTGCTTTCTCAGGTAGCCAATTGGAGGCGAACTGGGTAATTTTATCCAGTTCCTTCATCTGCGTAATTATATCGCGTAACGTTACGTAAGACACGTTCTCCGTGAAGTGTCGATCAGAAGCGTGTAATCGAGATGGAAATCTCCTCCGATTTTTCTTTTCTCGTCGAACCGGGAGAAAAATTAATCGTATTTTGTATCAGGAGTTGGCAAGGCCTGAATCTTGGTATTGATATTTTAATCACTGGATGTGTACTTACTTACGCTGTCGAGTTTTCTGAGAGGAAGTAGAGCATTGTTCTTAACAAAGCGTTTGTTCTTCTTGATTCTGATTGCGAGATACAACTGAAAAGGTGAAAGGAAATGTTTCTTGTTGGAATACAAAAGAAACGGTATTTTTCTTGAAGTCATTTATGACTACTGTTTTTCTTGTTAATTATAAATAAAGGAAAGAAAGAAACGAAGAAAAAGAACGAAAAAAAAGAGGTACGATTCTCTACAAGAGAAACAAATCTTCCCCGGTGTACATCACAAAAGATTAGCGGAAATTCCGAAAAATTCACCGAAATGAATTTATTTGTAATACTTAAAAATACTACGAAAAATTGATCTCTATTAAATTCACAAAAATTCTCAGCGAGTTTTACAAAAATTCCATCGCCCTGGTAGTTGGGCCGCGACCATAGCAACTCACCGCTGAAATCAAAGAATCGAGAAAAGAGGGCTTGCTCGCTCTCGACAATATCGTGAACACCCCATTAAGACGTCCTTTCGTGTTCTCGCGGAATCCATTTGTTTTATATTCGTGGCGGAGATTGCAGAGCGTCGTTGGCCGATAACGGGGACTATTCGTTCGATTCGGACACACGCGAGGAGGAGAAACGTCTGACGTGTACCGGTTAAGGTATTAACGGCAATGACCGAAAGAGAGCGTACCCTCGGTTTATGGGGAGGAGAAAGAGCTTCATAAAAAGCTCTGCATAACCGAAACCGTGAGACCGCGCTGCCGAGCGCTCTTTATTCGTCAAGTGTCGTTTATCTGAGCACTTGCCGAGGCTACTTTCCTCCTGTTTACGACGGCAGCATTTTTGTAGAAATTGTTATAGCGACGACGCGCGGAATGCGCTTACAGATTACGAATGTAGTACGTGTGCTCGAGGATGTTTTCGATCAAAAAATTTCGAATCACTTTCTACAGTCGGTAACTGTGTGGAATTTTCTTGCTCGTTTCGAATCAAACGTAATTATCTCTAGCGAAACAAGATGTATGAAAAAGCAAGTATCTTACGAAGAATTCGAATTTCTACCGTAGTAAAATCTACAAAATTCTAATTTGAATTCTAACTCTTAAATTCTTTAAATCTATAAAACGTACGATTGTATAATTGTGATCTTTGTGATTCTCATTAACACACTGTTGCTTTATGTGTTGCAGGTGCTGTGTCTTCAGGTGAGTTTCCCGATCCGATTGCAACTCTCAAGAATATGCACTTTGTCACGACGTGAGTAGATTTCTTGAAAATTCATTCGCCGTACCGCAATCAAATCGATGCGCTTCATCTTTATCTTGAATTTGACAAACAATCTAAATCACCCAGGAACTAAAAAAGTATCGTCTCAGAATCCTAAAAATAAATCCACTTGACGATGTCCGATCAACGTCAGATATCCGATAATTCTAAAAAACGCACGTACAAAGTAAAAACAAAAAAAAAAAAAGAAACAAGACAATTGTTTTGACAACCAATAAGCCTCGCAATTTCCACTCCTTCAACATCGACGATTGCCGATGAAAGAAACATTTTTTTGAAAACTACATTTATGCCAAAATTTATAAAAAAAAAAAAAATCTTTCGTCAAAGTGATTAACAGTTGGATATGTTCTCGAGTCGGTCCTATCTGACGAAATAATACCGCGAAACGTATCCTTTGAACGAGCCGCGCGAGCAAGATATCTTAATTGCCGCGGAACAGGCGATGGAAACTCTCTGCGAAACAAAGGGGTGATAAAATACGTTTGACCCGCGACGGCATTAATTCCGCGGAAGCAGAAAAGCCAGCCGCTCCGGTCGGTCTTCCAGTTCCGCTTCCGGCGTTGCTCGGCCACTTACGTACACGTGTACGAGATAAGAAGTTGTGTAAATTGAACTTAACGCGAACGTAAACGCTGCAACTTGCTGATTGTACGTGCGAGTTCGAGTACGTACCGGAAGTCATCGGGAAATTACGAAGCGCGGAACGTCCCGCGGAACGAGGCAAGTTGTCGAGGGTTGTTTCGCGAGCTCGATGGCAATTGTCCTAATTCGAAAAACTGCGAGCAACGTTTGGACAGGGGGCTAGGATCTCGTGGCCAAGCGAAAACGCTGACGCCCACGAGGCTTCGTTTTGCCCTCGACTCGAGGGCAGTCGCGGAACACGCTCGAAACTGCCGGGAATTTCCGCAACTCTCGAGATAACATCTAGGCCCGCGATGGGTTAGTTACTATGTCCTGTCGCACGCGATTGGAAAGGCTCCAATGGTTGCCAGTTATCCCCGGAACAACGGGGATTTCGATTCTTGAGTGAATCTCATAGTCATTAATGGAAAAATTGCAGTCGAATTTCCATCGAGTCGATCTCAGACGGTTTGACACGTCGTTGCTTTTGGAAATACAACAAGCCAGTTAGAAGTCCGTTGATCATTGATTTCCGTTAATTCCGATGATGGAGAGAAATGAAAATTAAATTTCTCTGGAGTTTACGTGTCATCTCCTTCTCGTTCTACCTGAAAGAAATGGCCCCTGAATGAATATTACAATGAAAATTTCTCGAAAGGGAGAATGGAAATGTAATTGTAGATAGAGAAGGACGGTTTGATCGAGAAATCGTGATTATATGGAAACGTGGATATAAAATTGTAATTCTGCGACGTGAATTTCAAAGATCTTCCAATATCTCCTTTCTCTCTCGCTCTATTTCTTCCATCGTAATTTTCATAATTTTACGAAATTGATAGATGAAAATTGAAACTTTTTAACAAATGTAATATAAACCACGGCGATAATGGATTAAACGTACCGAAAAAGCGTTCTATTTCCAAGACGTTATGTAGAAATGAAACCGAGATGATAGGACACAAAATGCCCAACATTATTCATTTTAACTTCTATCAATTTCCATCTTCTTGCGTTAGTAACTGGTTCACGGACCATAACGAGTGACCAAACTGTATACAATAATTCGTCTACTTTTCATGGAACTCATCATGGTATATCACTGGATAGAAATTACTAAGAAGTAATAAATTTATTATTTGTTTTGCCTGGGTTATGTTTCGATATACTTAAAACTGAGAAAATATTGCAATTTTGGGCCAAGTATTCTCGACGTGCGTGGCACGTTGTTCCAGCGAAAGAGATTAAAAAGGAAAAGAACATCTCGGCAACGATCGCGTAAATATCCGAGCCTAGCGTGCAACCTGATATATCGCAGAAATGACCGCTTTTAGAAAATGGGCTAGAGATCGAGCCGCACTTCTGGAATCGGGACTCGAAGTGTTAAGAATAGCTCGTTGCTCGTGTACGGTTCGCGGATCACGAACGTGAATTTCCAGCCCCAGGATGGCTGGTGAACGAAAGGAGAACGAATTGATAGACAGAAAAAGAGAGAGAGAGAGAGAGAGAGAGAGAGAGGTGTGGAATGAGAAAAAAAAGAAAGAAAAAGAAAAAAAAGGGGGAAAAGAAAAGGCAGAAAAGGCTCGTGGATGGCAGAGGTTTCTGCGGTCAACGATGCGTCGCCGTGAACTAGGAAGCCAACGAAGCGTCAAAGCCCGAGGGAACGGGGCTCGGATTCTCTCGCACGTGTCCGAGAAAGGAGCATCGAGAATGCCAACGAATGGTCTGTATTAGGATTCGAAAAGTGGAATTTCTACAGAAAAAAAGATAGATAGAGAGAGAGAGAGAGAGAGAGAGAGAGAGAGAGAGAGAGAATCCGCGAGGGCCAGGCCTTACGCTTGATCCTTCTCACCTTTTTTTCATTCGTCACTGCCAATTGTTTATCCTCGTTCCTTGTTTTCTTGCGGTTTGAGTATGAATTCTCTGGCGCGTATGTTACGAGATACTCGTCTTCGGAATATCTATATGGGACAAGGTTAATAACTAGAATTCAGTTTGAAGCTTTCGCGACATCATCAAATATCCTTTTTTGTTATTCTTTACGTTTGTTCTCGTTAATCTTGTTAATACCATGCTTGAAGGGAAACGTAGCTCGCGTGAAATTGAGATAGTCGATCACTCGCTGGTTTCAAATTAAAAAAGACATTACCAGAGAATTCTTTCAGCCGGTTTGCTGAAAACAGGAAATGAAACAAACGGCGTGCAACGCGACACAAGTGGCTACGTAACATTGCCTTAATCCGCCCACGTGGGTACATTTAACCACGCGATACTTACGATGATCAAAAAGTCGAGATATTGAATTACCTGCGCGTTGTATAACAGCCGTGCACGACGTCCCAGTTAAGGCTAATAAAGACGCATCGCACGGCTCTTTATTAACAACTCGCTCCGTATAAATATGACGCGGGTACAAAGGTCGAGATGATCGAGATATCGAATTACCGTTCGTTGCCGAAGAATTACACCGGCTGGTTATTGCTAGAGAGTAACAAAAACCGATTCGACGTTTCCCTTATTAGCTATTCACGTTGCTAGCGCCGTATCATCAGAGGTCTTCCTCTTTAATATCGTCCCCTATACCTCTGTGCCTGTAACCGTCTCCTTCTCCTCTACTTCTCCTCCTCTTCGTCCCGCATTGTTTCTCAGAACGGCGCGCGTTTCCACGAAACGACAGGGTCGAATGCAAATTCGGCAGTTTCACTCGTCGAGGCCTGGTCCGCAAACAAGCGCCTTGGCGCCAGTTAATTCTCGCAAGAAGTCCCTGGCCGATTCGTGGGACCTTTGGCCATCCTCTATCGACCGAAACTGCAGTAAAAACGTATCTGATCGTCTCCGATGTTCACCCACCGTTTCTTTATCCTCCGATGAACTCGTAGAATGCGTAGGTTTGAGCACTCAAGTTTGTAAATGTAGAAGTCTAAATAAAAATTGTCCATCCTAATAATAATAAATTGATCAATTGTACTTTGTTTTCTTGGAATCTTTTCTTTGTACACTGAGAAGTTTGTAATTTAAAAGAATCGTGGCATTTAAAGTTGAAAAACGTACAGGGTCGCAGTATTTAATATCCGGATATTTCTCAGGATCCAGGAAATCACGAAACTACGATTCTCCGCTCGATAGCACGCGGCAATACATGAAATTGATATAAATCTGCGCGGTCCCTGAAACGTGCAAGGGGAGGCGGTTGATTTCTTGCCTGGTACGGATTTATCGCTCCAGAGAAAATTCACGCAAATATTCAGTTCATCAGAGCCAGTTCATCAAACGCACGATGGCCTCTACGCTCGAGGATTCCACGAGTGTTCCAAGTTTCCCATTTACCCTAAATTCGTTTTAATTTATTCCCCTCGCACGCAGCCGCGTCGCTGGCGAATAAATTCTCGCGGGCGAGACGAACACTGGAAAACGTGCCTAAAGCTGCGTGCTATTTATTAATTGAACGTGTCCAGAGTGCACCTGTCTCTGTCGACGATTTATACACCCTCGCCTCGAAAATTTTGCCGGAGCTCTCTCTTCTTCGTTTGCCCTTCGAGCGTCCTTCGAAAATTCATGTGTTCGCTATTTGCGGTGAGAGAAAGAGAGAGAGAGAGAGAGAGAGAGAGAGAGAGAGAGAGAAAGAGAAGAAAAGAATCTGGCAAGAACCTGAAGAACGCCGCTTTAAATACTCGATATAAATTCTTGACACCGTGCACTACGACTCGCTGAAAAAGGTAAAAATGATTCGACGAGACCGCTAGGAAAACAACGGATCCAAAATTTATTCGCCTTACATCCACACGATCGGTTTAATCTAATCAGCCGCGGTCCACCGGCGTGGATCCGATCGATATAAGCATCTTTCGAAGCATAACCAAGAGGATGGTCCGCGTTTTCAATCTAGCCGGCTGCGATATCCGGCTGAAAAAAAAAGAGGGGGCAAATCGAGCGTAGCGCCGAAGGGATGAGGGAGATAAGAGGATGGGGTGATGTGAGTGGATGAAACGAAAGCAAAGTCGACGGATTTGTTGGAAAGATGGCGAGGCAAAAGGCTAAGGCTCGTGGACGTAGGCGAAGGACAACAAACAGAGAGAAATCGGACTGATATTCCGGAAAGATGACGGAAGACGAAGAGGCAGTTGAAGGAAGTGGCCGAGATTCCGTACGAGGGGCTCGATACGCCAAGGAGATCGGAGATTTCGACTGTTCCTTTTTATTTACGATTCAGTTTCTACGTCGGGACTTTCTGCCTGATTTCCTCCGTGCCATTCTTCGTAAGGCGTAATCTTTCATTCTCTTTTGAGGAGTTCTTTAT